TAACCAGATTTTGTGTGGTCAGAGCTTATTTTTCTGAGGGTACAATTTATAGACTACTGACCATACATTTCGAAGAATAACAAAATCAAGTTCTCATCACCATAAGCACTTACAACAGAGCCATGTATCACGTTTCGTTACACCATGTATAGATGAACAAACTCTGAATGGTTTTCGATTTCATCAAGTTATCCAACAGTAAACAAAGGAAAAGTGAAAGCGTGCGTTGATAAAAATAAGACTCTTAAAAAATAAAAATAAGACTCTTACACCTAAATCCCTAATAACAGAGCCATGTATCACGTTTCCTTACACCATGTATAGATGAACATACTCTGAATGGTTTTCGATTTCATCAAGTTATCCAACAGTAAACAAAGGAAAAGTGAAAGCGTGCGATGATTGTTAAAAATAAGACTCTCACCACCTAAATCCCTAATAACAGAGCAATGTATTGTGTTTTGTTACTCCATGTTTAGATGAATATACTCCAGATTGTTTTGGTTTCATCAGGTGAGTTTCCAACAAACAATCGAAAAGTGGAGGCGTGCGTTGATTGATCATCTGATTTACTGATACAGTTTAATACGCCATCTTTTTGTCCAAATGTCTAACGAATCTGTAGCTATTTGTAATTTGGCTATTGATTGTTCAACTGAGTCAGCAATCGCCAGAATAGTAGTATCATCTGCAAATATTACAATTTTACTTTCAGGTGTTATTGGCAAGTCCATTGTGTAAAGCAGGTATAGTAGTGGACCGAGTACACTCCCCTGAGGTAAACCTGCTTTTATCGCAGATAGATTTGAATAATAGTTTTCGTGTTTTACACAAAAAAACCTCGAGGCAATGAGACTTCAAAATCGCAAAATATGACGACGGCAAACATGTTTCTAGCTTATTCAGAAGACCTTTGTCTTCTTTGACAAAACACAATTTTTTGCCTTCAATAGCCCTTTCAAAATCATCGGTAATGCGGTGTACTTGAAATATATTCGAATGCTTGTCACCAAAACCATATTGATGGTTTGGTGTTAGCTTTTCCGATTCTATTATAGGCGTTAGTCTTTTGTAGAATAACTTTTCAAAGAGCTTCGAAATGGTTGGTAAAATTGAAATTGGTCTATATGACGATATGCTTTCTAGCGGCTTGCCTGCTTTTGGAATCAATTTTATCTCTGCGATCTTCCATAAGCTAGGAATATATTTTAATATTGAAATACTAAACACAGCTGCCAAATATTATTGTATTGATTCTGCCACTTTGTTACTTCCAGAAGGTCTTCTTGTTTCCTACAGTGATTTCAACCTACTGGTTTTATCACTAATTATAATAGTACTTATGGTTACTGATACGATTATATCAATATATCAGCTATAACATCCAAAATTGTTTGATAAATATTTGTTAAAGAGAGCATTACTCTATTATACAACATGTTACAATAGGAATTGCAAAAATTACTAGTTGGGAGAAATGATGATCACATGTTGAAATCAGAAGAAGTTTACGATAAAGTGAGCAGATTGTTGAATGATTGATTTAAGTCAAAATTTCTAAAACTGCTACTTTAAGAAAATAAATGTTATTTGCGACACTCAGTAGTTGAGTTGCAATTGTGGTAAAAATTTGTAGTATCTACCCTGAGGTATCTTCTGCAACGCATGTCTAGGGTCTCTCCAAAAAAAGACACCAGACCACCTGTTGTGTTTATGTCGAAGCCTATTCTTTAACACACTTAGCGATATCTTCAGTATTAACATTGGCCAGACTCTTGCCTTTATTAATGCTTCTAAATGGTT